CCCCAGGTTTTCTGCTGGGATGCAAAGGCCATCTTATTTTTCATGCTAATCATTTGCAACATAATGTACTCCAGGAATATAATTAAATAGAATGAGTTACTTCTGACCCAACTAGTGAGCAGGATAGCAGAAGTATTTCCCATAATTAGACAACTGCTAAGTGCAGTGCTGCAAATGTGAGACTGATCTGAAAGAAAGATGACAACCCTTTCTAACATTTTCTTTCCTCTGCATTTCAGCAAGAGAACATTCTTCAAATCCTGAGTAACGTACTTTGCACTAATGCTCATGAGAAGGCACTCAACTAAAATAGCAGACTGTACCAAGTTATTATTTAAAATTACATGTCCCTTCTTTTCCCATAATTAGACAACTGCTAAGTGCAGTGCTGCAAATGTGAGACTGATCTGAAAGAAAGATGACAACCCTTTCTAACATTTTCTTTCCTCTGCATTTCAGCAAGAGAACATTCTTCAAATCCTGAGTAACGTACTTTGCACTAATGCTCATGAGAAGGCACTCAACTAAAATAGCAGACTGTACCAAGTTATTATTTAAAATTACATATGTCCCTTCTTCTGTTCCCAAGTTCCAGGGGAAAATTCCACTTTTTGGTGAGCAGACCTATCTGCATCTCCCAATGCACTGACAGACTTTCTAGAAAGATGTATACGCTGCAGGACTTGACTTGCAGTTGCTTTGGAGCAGAGGCACAAAAGAGAATTATTAGCAGAGAATTCAGAGGCTGACATTAAAGACCCAAGCACTGCAGGGGAAGAGTTTGGCATCCAACAAGCAGAATTTGTGGAAGCCTGAACATTAAGTGGAAAGCTGCCAGGCCAGCCTTCTGAAAATGCAGGCAAACCAGGAAAAGGAGGGACATGAGCAAGAAGCCACCCACATCCCCAATAAGAACTCTGACCACTGGGCAGAAAGTCACACGTGTAACATTGTGCACGCTTTAAGCATGTCTCAGGGATCAAACCTCACCAGCAGACTGGGGAATACCAGTCAGCAACTCCTCCAGGCCTTCTGCTGAGCAACGTAGCACTGTCAAGTCTAAGGTAGCTCTACGTGTGTCCTTAGGCAGAACTAGGTGAAGAGGTTAAAGCTGTACCATCAAGGCAACATCTTAGAGGAAATTTTGAAAGTGCCCAAACATTGCTGGATTTTGGACAAACAGGTGTTTGTCCAAACATATCCCACGCCTATGCTCACGCAGTGGGATAACAGAAAGGTCAGCACTGAGTGTGAGCCGCTACACTCATGCAATGCCATGAGGAAATACTGAAGTATAGGCCTTTGAGGGGGAATGCCACCCTCAGCAGTCAGGCACAGTCCTACAATGACACAGCTATAACTCCTCTGGAACGAGTAATGACACAGCTAGCTTAAGTTTCTCTATGCTACACCCACTGTGTCACGTAGAGATGTCTCACCAGTCTCCCCTCATGAGCATCACCTAAGCAATCTACTTTCATTGTTTGTGCACATACATATAAAGACACATACATACACATATAAAAACAATCTACACTACATACACAGTTTCATAGATCTGCCCAGAAGACACTGAAAACAACCAAATTTTAGGAGCAGATCCTTGTCCTTTGTTGATTACTACTGGACCTCAGGCATCCCAGTGGTTAGCCCAACTGCACTTTCTTAGGACACACAGTTTGGTAAAACTAGTGTTTATCACCATTAGCAACAGCAACCTTCTTTTCTCCTTTAAAAACAAAAACCAAACAAAACCACAAAATCCTTTAAAACTGCAAACCCTTGTTATAATTTTCAACCTACTCAAGCCTTTCACCCTATAACCATTTCACTCTCGTGCTTTTGCTTACCCAATTGCAAAACACTCAAAAGCCTTCAGTCCTCCCACTTCACGGCAGCCCCTGGCTGAATGGGAACAAAGCACAGCAGTTCCTGTGAAGAGCCTGACCCAGCCCCAGCTAAGGGAAGCATTAGCAACTGAGTACTGTTTTGCCACTCACCAGGAGCCAATCCCCAGGTTTTCTGCTGGGATGCAAAGGCCATCTTATTTTTCATGCTAATCATTTGCAACATAATGTACTCCAGGAATATAATTAAATAGAATGAGTTACTTCTGACCCAACTAGTGAGCAGGATAGCAGAAGTATTTCCCATAATTAGACAACTGCTAAGTGCAGTGCTGCAAATGTGAGACTGATCTGAAAGAAAGATGACAACCCTTTCTAACATTTTCTTTCCTCTGCATTTCAGCAAGAGAACATTCTTCAAATCCTGAGTAACGTACTTTGCACTAATGCTCATGAGAAGGCACTCAACTAAAATAGCAGACTGTACCAAGTTATTATTTAAAATTACATATGTCCCTTCTTCTGTTCCCAAGTTCCAGGGGAAAATTCCACTTTTTGGTGAGCAGACCTATCTGCATCTCCCAATGCACTGACAGACTTTCTAGAAAGATGTATACGCTGCAGGACTTGACTTGCAGTTGCTTTGGAGCAGAGGCACAAAAGAGAATTATTAGCAGAGAATTCAGAGGCTGACATTAAAGACCCAAGCACTGCAGGGGAAGAGTTTGGCATCCAACAAGCAGAATTTGTGGAAGCCTGAACATTAAGTGGAAAGCTGCCAGGCCAGCCTTCTGAAAATGCAGGCAAACCAGGAAAAGGAGGGACATGAGCAAGAAGCCACCCACATCCCCAATAAGAACTCTGACCACTGGGCAGAAAGTCACACGTGTAACATTGTGCACGCTTTAAGCATGTCTCAGGGATCAAACCTCACCAGCAGACTGGGGAATACCAGTCAGCAACTCCTCCAGGCCTTCTGCTGAGCAACGTAGCACTGTCAAGTCTAAGGTAGCTCTACGTGTGTCCTTAGGCAGAACTAGGTGAAGAGGTTAAAGCTGTACCATCAAGGCAACATCTTAGAGGAAATTTTGAAAGTGCCCAAACATTGCTGGATTTTGGACAAACAGGTGTTTGTCCAAACATATCCCACGCCTATGCTCACGCAGTGGGATAACAGAAAGGTCAGCACTGAGTGTGAGCCGCTACACTCATGCAATGCCATGAGGAAATACTGAAGTATAGGCCTTTGAGGGGGAATGCCACCCTCAGCAGTCAGGCACAGTCCTACAATGACACAGCTATAACTCCTCTGGAACGAGTAATGACACAGCTAGCTTAAGTTTCTCTATGCTACACCCACTGTGTCACGTAGAGATGTCTCACCAGTCTCCCCTCATGAGCATCACCTAAGCAATCTACTTTCATTGTTTGTGCACATACATATAAAGACACATACATACACATATAAAAACAATCTACACTACATACACAGTATAATAGATCTGCCCAGAAGACACTGAAAACAAAATTTTAGGAGCAGATCCTTGTCCTTTGTTGATTACTACTACCAGCCATTTATCTATTCGCTTATAGAGGTCTTTAACGACAGCGGCCAGATTGCGTTAGATTGCGTTAGATTGCGTTAGAGACATCCATTTCTGTATGATGGTTCTGACTGCTAGTAATTACTACTTCTATTCAAAAAGGAAAAGGTGATTATACTTGAATAAGAAAGCACTCATTTCAACTGGCACAGATTTCAGATTCTTCAGGGTCCACTGCTTTTTGTTCACTTAAGGTAGTAAGCTAAACCATGTGTAATAAAAACAACTGACTTTGTGTTATTTTGTTTGGCAGTGTCAATCAAGGGAGCCTGCTGAATGCATTTCACCCATATATTTTGTCTCAGCATCAGCTGGAAATAAGGTTTTTACCATGTACGTATAAAAACTGTGTCATACCACCTCTCACTGGAGAGAATCCCCCACAAAGCAAAGGGGAGTATAAAGCAAAGTCTCTTCCAAAATGAGTTGCACTGGAATTTGCCTGACTCTGAGAAGATGGTGTTTTTTCTCCATTTCCTTTACTAGCCAAAGATGATTTGACTCCCAGTGAACACAGCTCCTTTGCTGGGCAGCTTCCTCTTAACTAGAATGATATATTTGAGCGCTAAGAGTTCTTCTTCACCATAGCACAGAATACACTACCTACCATCTACGTTGTCCTCGCTGGTCTGCAAAAGTCCTGTGAGGCAGGAAGTTAATAATCACCTTCATTTTATAGCTGAAAAACTTACTGTACAAAGAGGTGATGGCTTCAATCCAATAAGGCAGACAGGAGTAACTTGAAACATGAATGTTTATGATCATAAGATTTTATATGATTCTAAGTGACTTCCTTAGAGCCAAAAGCAAATCTTAGCTCTAGTCTCACTCCCAGCATCCCTAACCAAATTCTTTTACATCAGTGTAGACGTAGTTATGCCATTGTAGTGCAAGGGACTTTCAATGGCTAGCCCAACAAACCTGGTGGTATGGACTAACAGAGATACTTAAAATGAATGAAAGAGAAATGAAGTGTAGACACCATTACTTTATAGAAAATTTTTCAAACTAGTTCTTCTCCAACATTCTATAGCATGAGAAACAATGAATTTTAGAAAAAATGTACTTTAAAATGTATGCAGAATGTATAAAAGTGTGACATTTATTCTGGAACAGATTTGAAAACATTCTTTTGTTTAATACATGGGCCTCATGACTGATAATTCTAAGCAAGTTTCATGCAATTGAGAAACATTGTTACACATGTTGATTTCACATGAATTAACACACAGAGCTCTCTGAGTGGTTTAAAAACCCATGTCTATATTTCACTACAATATCAAATGGCCAGACTTTCACATTCAGGAAAAAAAAAAAAATCAAAAGTATTAGTGAAAATTGCGTGCATGGAAAAGTCAGAAACACAGAAAAAGAGCAGATCGCAAAGAAATGCTTAATGAGCAAGAACGAATAGATCTGTCGTGCAATATTATTTTAAATATTCTTGGAAAAAACACTTTCTGAACTCCTTTAATTCTTGTTGGAAACTCTGCCCCAATTAAACTTGAGTGGACTGAATTATTCAAAGCTATTGGATACATCCACTTACCTGCTCTGTCTCAACAAAGTTAGACACATGTCCATCATCATTGACTCCTCGAATGTGAAACCGGGCACCAGCTCGCTCACAGCTGATGCGAGAGATGAGGCAGGCTTTTGCCTTCTTGTGGGAAGCATAAACAGTGCGAATGTCCACTACACCACAGATCACTTTCAGCAACCAGTCAGAGCAGTTCACCTGGTAGTGTTTGAAGGGCACATGCAATAGTTGGTTCCTAAAAGGTTCAACAACATACAGATACATTACTGACTAAAATAAGACAGACAGGCACGGGTGCCACCCCACAACAACCACTAATTTAAGCAATTAATGTTTTCTGACCCCTTTTCTGTTGTACCTTTACTTTATCCAAAATCAGGAAATATCAGGAACAAATCTTTGTGAACTACTAAGTGAACAGGACACGGCAAATTTTAATAGCACAGCTACCACCAAGGTGCTGTCCTTATATCTTGTACCTCTGTCTTATAAATTCAGATGCAAATGTCACCTCTTTTAGCTCCAGAAATACATTTATATTTAGTAATCTTTTTCATAAATTACAGTGCTGTCAAGGTAATTACTTTTTGAACAGTGCTGTCCGGACCTTAGCATACACTACAGGATGAAGAGCCATTTTAAAACCCACCAGGATCTTCAGAAAAATTTTTCCAAGCAGAAACTGGACCCATAAGTCAATGGAGATATTGCAGGAAGTGCTACTAAAATTAAGAGGAATGTCTGTTTTAACCTTCAATTTATTTTAAGATCAACAACCCAAGAAACCTATCATGCCTGGTTAACAGTGATGTTACTCTCTTCTATTATGATGGTTTTCCTCATTTCATTTTTCAAAATGTACCTTTAGTCACAGATAAGGGCCAAGAAAATCCCTTTTATGATCATTTATTGCTCAACAGCAGATCTGTACAAGAGTTATTACATCTAGCGAAAACCTCTGAAGAATTGTTCTTCCAGAGTACTTCCTCTGAAAAAGGTGCAAGTCATTCTTACATTTTTAAACTAAATATGCAACTGAAAAAGCAGCTCTAAAACAATTTTTGGTATCCCTTCCACCTCATTCTCCTAGCTCTACTCACAGAGGAAGTCCTCACTCAGACAAATTCCAGTAGAATTTTGTTGTTGTTGCAGTTCATTTAACAGGCAGTTTGTGTTGCTTATAACTAAGGTCATCTGACACTTTTCATCATGTAACTATTTATCCCATTGTTTACTTTTCTCAAGAATCTATTGTTTGGTCTGAAATTTCCCATATCGCATAATTGCCTCAAGATAAATTTTCTTTGGAACATCTTTTTGCCCTAAATGTGATGTTGTCACCATTCATCCCTGTTCTACAACATACAGGAGAATGGAACCTCTTCAAGGGCTACTTCTAGATTAGCCAGAAGGAAAGATTAGCCAGCAAAGAAGGAAAGTTCAAATACTTATCTTCCAAGAAGAAAAGTTTCAAAAGACAGTACAGGTAAAAAGAGTTGCTTTAAAGGTTGTTTCTTCATTAAGGGATACTGCCACCTTAGGAGTTTCATCACTGGAACACAGCTCGTTTGTGCCATGTGTCTAATTTGACATGCTTGGAGAGCTTTTTGAGAGGGATGCATAATTAGCACAGTTGAAAGCAAGTTTTCCACATCTCTCTTCTGAGTTAAACTTAAAACACTAGATCTTACCAGTCAAAAATCACATCATAGCTAGAAAGATTACTTAGCCTGAATGAACTGCTCTCTCATGTTTATTTATCATCCATTATGAACTTTTTTGCTTATTTAATATTCACCTACTTTGGGCAACAAGACGTATCACACATTCTAGCAGCACGCCCACATTTAACTCTGCCAGTTATTTTCCACCTACATCATATAACCCTCATTTATTTCCAGTGCATCTATGTTTCCTCTGTGTGACTATCTTTTTGTTTAAAAAGAAAAAAAAAATGAGGGTATAGGAATTCAAGCATTCTGCCGGAACTTGTAAAGCAAACAAACTGAATTACATCAACAGTGAACCCACCTAGGGAAGACAAAACTCAGCATCTGTGTGTTTTCCTTTCCACTCAACCAATACTTACCACAAGAAATACTTCTTATTTGCTTTATAAGCACAAGAAAGTAAGAAGTACAGAGCAGAGTATTACAGGAGTTTCCTCTGTGCAACATACATTTACAGAGCCACAAACATATTAATATTGATGTTTTCAACATAAAAACTAGGGCATATTATTGAAACATTAAAGTACAGACTTTAAACACATACACTTTTAAGAAACAGAAGATACTTCAGCACAGATGATGGGATTTATGAACAGTTCAAGTGCAGGTTTCTATTAGATAACTTTTAAAGCAAATTATTAAAAAGAACTGCAGGGGAAACTATTCATGACATGTAGAGACATGTTTCTGTAGTGTGAGCAATACGTCTTGTGTTTCCTTCTTAAAAAACACAAAATGTCCAGTTATTAGAATTGCACTTCACTATCAGATTAAGTTTAATTAAACAGAAGTTACTTGTTTGACCCAGATTTACCATGATTTCACTAAGGCCACGTGCCCTGTAAAATGTCATGACAATGAAATGAAGGAGGCGCACCTGAAATGCATATGTTTATTTCCCTCCGAGAATGTTTAACCAATAAGATACAGGTGGGGATGACAGAAGACTTTGGTATAACATGCAGTACTGACCAGAAGAACGAGTTACCAGATTCATAGTGGTTATCACCCTGCTTCTGAGCCCGCACAGTCAGGTCAAAGTTTGAGCCTGCATTAGGCCAGGAGAAATAGAACATCCCAGAGTTCAGTATTTTCTTCAAGGCATTAACACGCTCCTCTTCCTTGGTTTCTTCCTGGAGAGGACAGAAATCTGTTGCAGTAATTTTGTAAACTTCAGCATCCAGGATTTTTCCCACTGACGTACAGCCTGTCACCAGGACCACAAAATGCAGCCGAGTGTTACCTAGAAGGTGACAGATAGTTACAAAAGGGTTACAGGCGGACACAGGCTATGCCATTTCACATCAGTCCTGTCATATGCAATGCTGACAGGGCTCCAGCAGAGGCCAGTATCTTTGCTTCAGAAGAAAACAAATGCAAACAACAAGCACAGGCCTATGTTCATTTACATTTCTGAATTCCTTTTGACTGCAGGTGAGTGAGTGCAATTGCATAATATTCCACAATACTTATACATTCCCATCCTTTGCTGCATTAGAATGTGTTTTTGCCACTTACTTTATGAAATGCAATGAGCTTGGTGTTAGGACACTACTCAAAAATCAAATTTCACCACCCTAGAGAACATACAGTTTTCATTGGATTTGATTGAAGGGCGAGGTAAAAGACTGGTCATTTATGAGATAAAGTGTATTCCTCACTATGGATTTTTCAACTGACTTCTGAATTTTAAAGATAGGAAGCATTCAGATTTCTTACTGGCTTCGGATGAAGCTGGGTGTATTCAGCCATTCAGAAAGTTTCAGTATTACCAATTTCGAGATTTTGCTTTTTATGTCACAGAAGAGTGTACACGATTAGATGACAACCTCAGTTATCACTAAAAAGAATTCCAGCTCTCATGGCTGTGAAGCAAAGTGTGAAATCATGAAGCAGCTGAATTTCAGGGCCCCAAAATGAAAAGATAAATTTTGAAGCTTGAGAACACCACTGTAATCAGGTCTCTTGTACACAGCAGGATTTCAACCTTTGCTCATTCTCTCTGAAATGATAAAGTAATTAAGAAACAGTAGAACAATTGTCCTGAAAACACTGGTTTTGCTAGGAAGAAACTGTTTGATTCACTTCAGTTGGCCTCTAATGGAGACAATGTCATCCTATTCACTCCAGTTAGTAAGAAAAAGTGGAAATGAGCCAAGATTTATTGCTCTAGCATAGCAGAAACAACAGCTGACCTGCCAAGAGCAAGCTAATTAGCTAAGGGCACAGTGACAATCTGGGACAGTATGGTTTCAGACAGCAAAAGGGAACACTTTGTAGGACCACTCTTCAACCCTCCACGGTGGCCCACTGTCCAAAAATGCAGACCACCTCTCACGCAACAAGAAGTTTTTTTTCCTGAAACACCAGTAGGGGAGTCCTTGCTTCCAGATTGCAGGTTGGCTACAGAAACTTGAGTTAGGGGTGGTTTGCAGCAGAGCCAGAATATTTGCGTAGGCACATGGGACTGGAATGGCAGGACAAGGTGGGAGATTAGATCTTATTCATTCTGTTCTGCTGACTCCAGTTTTGCATAAAGGCCAGTGTAGGCAGTATTTACTAAAAAGCTCTGTTCATCACATTTCTTTCTGTAACGAGGGTATGCTGTGTTCTCCTTCTTGAGTGTTTTTAAGAAGTATGTCTTCTGTACTTTTTCTAGATGACACTGTAGTGGAGGGTTAGAAATACACAAAACCTGAGTTTATTCCTCCTTTGCACATGAGTGTGCATAATTCTAAAGGATTAAGAGTAGGAGATACATCAGTTATCACCATGGTAGTTCATACCTGAGTAAATATTGTCTTGCAGCCTCCCCAAGGGGTTAGGAGGAGTTAGTCATCTGTCAGGATAGCTAATAGCTTCTGTGACTTTGCTGAAACCATGCAAAACTAATCAGCTCAAAGTAAACTTCACTCAGGAGAATTTGGAAGCAATGTATAGAAACACTATTAATATGCCTTACTATCAGTCAGCTTCAGGGACAGAAAAGCAGTAGTGACAGACTCGGAGAGCTGTCTGGCTGGGATGCTGAGACAAAGAATACAAGCACTTTCATTGGCTTCAGTGACCTTAAACTTTCCTAGAGGACTCAGAAGAGATCAAATGAGAAAGTCAACATCAAAATAGCCAAAAAGAACGAAAATTCAATAATAGTGGGCTTTTTATCTGTGGTTCTTTCCTTTGAGGAGCTTGTAACCAGTGGAAAATAACTGGATCTAAACAAAGCAATTCTTTAGTTTAAGAAGGCAACAAGTAGGAATAAAGCATGACAGAAAAGCCAATCAAAACTACACAGTTTTGCCTTACCTAGAAACTTGCTATCCCTTAGCAGAGACTCTAGACTCTTTTTACTACCTCCTCCACTCAACCATTCACCCCCAAAATGGGAGACACATCTACACATGCAGAGGTCCAGCATCTCTACTCCCCCAAATCACTAGCTAATGAGCTCAAAAATAGTAATCACAGCTAAGAAGCTACTGCATTGTCCCTGAAGCATGAGGAGATTGATGGCTTTCTGAAGCTCTAATACTCTTTCCTGCCACTGTGCTGTAACCCCACATGAAAGAGTTGGGGTTGTTCAGCCTGGAGAAGAGATGGCTCTGGGGAGACCTTATTGCAGCCTTTCAATATATAAAGGGGGCTTATAAGAAAGATAAAGAGAGACTTTTTATGAGGGCCTGTAGTGGCAGGACAAGGGGCAATGGTTTTAAACTGAAAGAGGGTAGGTTTAGATTGGATATGAGGAAGAAATTTTTTACGGGAGTGGTGAGACACTGGAACAGCTTGCCCAGAGAAGCTGTGGATGCCCCATCCCTGGAAGTGTTCAAGGTCAGGCTGGACAGGGCTTTGAGCAACCTGATCTAGTGAAAGATGTCCCTGTCCATGGCAGGGGGCTTGGACTAGACGATCCTTAAAGGTCCCTTCCGACCCAAACCATTCTATGATTCTATATAAACATAATGTCTCTTTACAGTACTCCAAATTATGGAGCAGCCTTCATCCTTCATGCACTTTTCATGATGCCTTTGAACAGAGGCAGGCTGGCAAAGGACTTCACACCTACAGGCCAGAAAATTGAAAAAAAAGGAAGTAAAGAGATAGATTTAAGCTACTTATTAAGTAGCTTAATAAGCATATATAATAAGATAAAGCTAGCCTGCTTTGCTGCTTTGTCCTCCTAGACTGCTTTGTGAGCTGAGGTGGTCTTCAGATCAACTCTAACCTCTTTGATTTGCTTAAATCACTCAGGATATGCTACAAAACAGCCAGAATGCAGAAACCCTACAACACCACAGCCCCAGCTTAACACAAATCTCTCTGACTCTGTGCCTTGGAAAAAAGTCCCAAGCCCCATCCCCTGAGATCACCTTCATCCCAGGTGGTATTTGGACAGTGTTCCTGGGAATCAGCTCTAGGCTATTCACTGCACTGTCTGGGGCGGGGAAGATCCCTGCCCCGATGTGCATGCTGCTCTTGGCACAGGGAGCAAGCTAATCACAATATCCTATTGACAGCACTCAAGCCTGCGCCCTGCCCCATTTTTATTCACAGCACAGATGTAGCCACAGGGTCCTGAGCAGAGGTTGGGCTCCCATCAGCCTTTAACCCTTTTAGAACCTCACACAACAAAATTAATGCTACCAAAACACTACTCTGCTATTCATCTTTTAATCATGTCTCCATTAAGGTCTAAGAAATTGCCTACCACTAAGCTATACAGCTATACACAGTGAAACAAAGCTTTCCCCATCTTCCCTTCTTTGCCAGTGACATTAGTTTATGTCTGGGAATCTCTTCTTTCAATCCCAAACCTTTTTTCTCACACTGTTTCCCCTCAACCCAGGCTGCCAATGTTTGTAAATATATTGATTACTACATTGGACAAGTCTGTGATGGAAATGATAACTGCACTATCTCTACTCATGCATTCACTTGGACATTTTGTCAGATTGAAAATGCTTTTCCAAAGAATAAAACAAAAGCATTACATAGCCAAATAGTACCTAATATGGCAGAAACCTCATATTACCAGCCACAGGAAAAATGTTTCTGCTTATTTGCCAGTCACTGAAAGTCTGATTATTATTATGGATATATTAAAGCAAAAAATCAGTCCATTTACTTCTAAATTTAAACTTTAAAAAGTCAATGTGGTTTTTTTTCTGGTATGTAAATGTCAACAAGCCATAATCTTTCCTGTTGAAAATAGATACTTAACATGGAAACAACTGCATCAACCACAACCCAACCTAAATGCACTTAAATTTAAGGGTAGAAATTGCTTCAATTGCTTCAATCAGGATAGATGCTGCTACTGGACCAAGTAATTTTTATAAAAAGCAAAATTTAAATCAACTTTCTCCATTTCTAAAAAATGCAGATACTAAGTTATTTGGTAATTGTTCATTCATTGCAAGGAAAATAACATTTTTAGCTGACAAGAATTTACTGAAAAATTCTTTCAGTTCCCAAACAATTCATTTCTATTATCCAGTAAATCTCACATAAGAATGCAAGAAGTTGCATTCCTTGGTTACTACATCCACCCCTCCAAAAAAAAGAAAGAAAAAAAAACCCCCACAAACCAAACAAACAAAACAAAACAACAACAAAAAAAACCCACCACAAAAAAAACCCAAAAAATCCTGCTATCAACACAACATGGAATTTCCTATGGTAGGTGGATTTGTGAGGCCATGGCACAAGAAAGAGAAGATTTTTTTAATTAAATTGGTTTTGCTGAGCAAACTGTGAAAATATCACAACTTTAATGAAATACATCAAATTGAAACACCCAGACATTCCTTAAAGCTAGAAGGTATTTCCCCTTAAAACAGTCAAGACTATTCCATTAATCCCTGCAGCCTTAACTTTTCAAAACTGTAGCTCACTACCATTTCCAATTCTGTAATTATATTAAAAATACTGCTCCTTTTAAGTTTCCAGTGAAACTGTTTTTATGCAAGTAGCACTTGAAGTACCAGACTAACACCAATCACAACAAAAATACATCAGATAGTCCAGTCAAATCCACTTGGCAGCATCATCAGGAAGCATATTATGGGGTTACAACCTTTGAAAGGAGCTAAACAGTATTCAAGGTATTTATGTTTCTTCTGTCCAGAACATCAACAGCAACACAGAAAAAAAAATACTAAAGCCATGAAGTGAGCAGTCACCACTTAAGTGTAAGCTCAAATAAGTCAGGAAGCCGAGTTTTGAACTGCTGGCAGTGCACCCTCAAGATCAAAGGGAGAATTAACATTAAATCAATTCCCTGAAGTCAGTGGCCCTGCCAGTACTACCACTGCAGCCAGTCTACGGAGGCTCCCTGCTCTCAGGAGCTCCCTGCATTTCTGGAGTAGGGGACAGGCCAAACTCCAGTCTTATTTCTTGAAACAGGAGCCCAACAGTTCCTACCAATAAAAAGTAATTAATGGAAGTACACTGGGTGGAAAATTTATGGTAATTTTCCCTTGATTTCATATGCAGTACAGTAGCAGAAAGCATGTTATATTCAGTTGACAGCTGCAAAGTGCATGATGAACAGGGTCAGCACCAAGGCCAGTAAGAAGCAACCCAAAAAAACGGAAAACTTTCCTGTGAAGTAATCAAGGCTCCAGGTCTGACTGTTACATTTCACTTTGTACCAACAACCACATCAGCTGCAGACTATTTACCAGGCCCCCCACCTTGGAAAATAACTACTTTTTTTTTTTCCACCCTAACTTTTACAAGTAGTTTAATGTGCAATCCTACTTCATATTAGCCTTTCTAAACTTCACACATAGATGAAAGTGATTTAGGAACATAAGAACTGCAATTGACGATCATACCTGTGGAAATGTTCCTCATTTCCTTAGGATGCAATCTGGAATGTTTTAAAGAAATCTCTGAAATAATTTTAGAGCAAAAAGTGAAGTGTTCCTTACTGGTCATGCTTTCCACAGCAACACATCTATGAAAAAGCAAGACCCACCTACAGTGCTAAAGAAAAAAAAAAATCTTTCAAAGCTTATGGACCAAATTTTGATCTCAGATAGATGGGTATAAATGTTCATGCATCGTGACCAAGATCATTATTTTGCCCCATTACAGCTATAAATCACCACAACCACCTGTAAAGAACACTTCCGAAGAAATGTAAGAAATGCTTTGCTCACAGCGATATGTGCTGAATGCCCTTTTATCAGGTTGCACAAGGGAGGCAGAGGATGGAGAATATTTGGCATAGAAACAAGACAAAAATAACTTGCATCCATTTTTTCAAAAGCTCTCGTGAAACCAACTGCCTTAATCCAAGTTGAACAGGAAACACAGTTCTGGTACGTCACACCCTACAATAATAAGCTGCAGTTTCTGTATTTAACCTGTCTACATAACTCCAGGCAATTGTTTCCCCAGCAGTTTATAGAATGACTTCAGAGTTGCTTATTATGAGCTGCAGTGAAAAGGAGGCAATATTCAATTCTTATTTTGTCCTTGTTAACTGTAAATATTTCACTCGACTGCCTTTTCCTTTTAAAAATTAATTCATTCCAGTTTTTGCTCTTTCTCCATTCCAACAGTCATGCCATTGCCTTATGTTCCCTCAGCCTGTTCCATCTCTACTCCACACATACCTCCACTTCACTTTATAGTCTACTGAAAAACAATTTGCAAGGTATTTTTGCCTCTCATCAAAATTAGCAACAGAAACACAGCAGAGGAGCAGATTCGAAGCATCTAGCTGAAAATCTCTGAGGAAATCTATACCAGAATTATGAAAAGAACCAAGATTTCCCAAACTACGGTTTTAGTCTCAAAGATACTCCTTCTCCCTCTTCTAAATACAATTACATATGAGGAAGTGTTTAAAAGGAATAGAAAACAGGTACTTAGTTGTCCTTTTTGCCTTTGAAACTTCTGCCTTTCAACTACACATGGTATATGTGCAAGAGCAAGAGTATATACACAGTCAGATTAATTCAGAATGCCTCCCCAAATACAGCAGCTGTATTAAACTAAACAACCTATGTGGTGATGGTGTCAAAATACTACCTTATGTATGTACCCCTTCCTGACATCACAGTGTCTAAACCAAACACTGCAAAGCCAGCTCTTTTGACACTTTGCTTAAGATTTATTTGCTAGATCTTCTTTGGCAGCAAAATCTTGGCTGAGATACAGCTCAGAAACACTGTACAATTCATTCTGCTGCCATCCATCTCACAAAAGAAAGCAGAAGAACTTAGTGAGTCATGTTAACAGACATAAGTACATAGAAGTGAATGTTATTACCGGTGGGAAACATTAACTTTGTGAGTCAGTTTCACATATTTCATCTAATTTCTTGTGAAAAGCATGATCTACCTTGGCAGGCATACGATGTGATTTATTTGGATTCCTAAGTAGCGATATTTACAGATTAATTAAAGTGCTCAGAGACATCTTTCATGTCTTGGAAAAGTCTCCCCTTCTGCTCTGCAAATATACTCTTTTAATATCCCAGTGGAATGTACTTTCACAAATATTTTCAGTTAATTTAGTAGTTATGGTCTGCAGTAGTAAGAAAAAAATACTGATACTCCTGAACAAAGTCTATGTGATCACTGATGCTCAGTGAAGAGCTGGCCAATTATGCCCTTTTTTGCAGCTGTTAGAATACATTATATAAAAAGGAAAAAATGTTACAATGCATTCCTTCCTAGTGTTAAGTCTTTTATGTAAGCAATAGCTAAAGGGATGGAACCTACTTACATGTAAGATGGAAGATCTAACTAAGACTGTGAAAAAAACCTGGGCTACCTCTTGAATGGTAAGATGGCATACAATCATCTTTGCTTTTTTTAAACATGTTCAGGAGCAGAAAATGTTTGCTTACCTTTGCTTACCATTACAGCATGACCCTCCTGACTTTTCACTCAATCACAATTAGAAGTTTGCCTCCAGTAGTTAACTTTTTTATCCAATTACCAATAAAATTTTTAACAATCCTTTCCAAAGGAAGTCCTGTAGCAGGACTTGTAATTTAATGCTAGAACAAGACCAAGGTGCAGTGACAAAGCTCAGAGAGGAAAAACCTCACACTTTATGGGCACTGAAGTTAAGCAGGTGCTGTTCAAAAAGAGGTAACGACATGGGAAACACAGAAATAAAAGGAGAAAAGAGAAAAAATAAGGCTGAGAATATTTCATACCCCATTTGAAATCATTCACTTTTTAATGCGAAGACTAAAATCAGATATATTTAGTTCCCATCATGTAGAAGAAACTACACTCATCTGTAACTTGAAGAGCTTGAATTCAATAGCTACATTCCTTTACTATTACAACAGGATTCATTAGACTCCTATGAAGAAAAACAGGTCCAAGTGCCAAGAAAAACTAATCACAAGCCCTCCATTTTTAATTACATTAACAAGTTGAAATTAATCTCCATAGAAATGCCTAATTAACTCCACAAGAAAACAAAAAAATCAAAAAGCCCACGTTCATTTAAAAAGACTAGATGGGCCTACAGTTTTAAATTCTGACACAGAAATCCTTCAGATTGCAGTCGCCTTTTCAGATCAATCTCAAGTCATATTACTCACGCCATAAAATGGTAAATGGGCTATAAAAAGTTACACTTATATCTACTAGTCTAAATACACCAGCGCTCACACCACCACTGCCTTTGGCAGATTCCTTGACCAAGCATCGAGTTATACGGAAAATAGTCTTATCATTCCAAGTCAAAATTAAGGCTTACTGTAAGAAGACCATAGGAACAAGGCATACAGTGCTTTTTGGTTTAACGCATCTTTTTCATCCGTGAATTTGAAGTCTGCTGTGTAAGGTACTGTTACCTTCAAATCAATGACTGCAGTTCTTTTCCTAAAACATGCTATTTCCATTAACATTCCTGTAGGCAGTGTAATAGCACTATTAGCAATAACAAATAATCCTTTGCTAAATCAAGATTCCCAAACTGTACAGAAATTTACAGCAATGACAATAAATATTCCTTACTATACTAGTTGAAGTTAAAGGCCTGCTTCTGCAAATCCTTATCCATGTGAATTACCCAGTTAAAGGCAATTGGGCGTTATAGCAAGGACTGGGAATCTGTAGAACTGCCGTCTCAGATGGCCATGATTAATCACTGTTTAAACATGATCCTTCAAAAAAAAGTAAGACATCGTGGTTTGCCTTGGACAAATGTGGTAGGGGAAAAAAAAAAGACAATTATCGTCAGGCAGCTAAGAATGTTAGACAAAACAAAATTTAGAAAAAATCCAAAATTCTTAGGCTATCGCTTAGCAGTACGCTTTTGGCACAGCATAGAAAAAGAAGTAGATCTTTTCCAGACTGAACATAACAAGAAGGTGCAATTAGCTTTCACAAGTTAAGGAATCAGACAAGTTTAGCCACTTGTTGTTGTCTGGGTATTTTATAATCTCAGTCACACAGATGGTCACTTACCACATTTAAGCTGAAGCTCTCCTAAGCAGCCGTAAGCATCCATGAGTTTTTCATATTGTCCTTTAATTGCATCCTTTTCTTCTGGAGCTGAAAAACAAAATGAAAGGCAGCAAACCTTAGTTTCCCAGTCTTTATCAAATTTTCAGATTGCTACAGCCTACACCAATGTTTCCCAGCTGATTTTGCTCAGTAAACAAAACTACAGTACAAAGGTAGGGTTAAAATGCTGTAAGAACACAGTGATTAAAAAGTGATGGGACAGAAATGCATAGCCTCTCCACACACCACCCCAGAAGAAAGAAGGGCACTAACTACCCTTCCAAACAACGTGATCATTAGTAATGTTCTTATTCTATGGTACAGATGCCACATCCGTTTCAGAATAAGTAAAGGAATATGCAGGCACATGTGAATTTTACACCACTCTAAAATAAGAACAAAAATAGTAATTCGTCTGGCCATAAGCTAAAATATAATATATCTTTTCTTAATGTGCAAAAGGGGATGGTTTCCGTTTCCAGATTCACGTCTAATTTCAGACAGAATCAGAATTTTTTATGCAAGATAACGCAATTTCATGTAGACACGTCAGAAGTTGATTTCAAGAGGAATTAAACTTATATTTTAGTGAAGTAAGAATTAGCTGTTTAAAAATAAATAAATAAAAGGGTCAGATGCTGATGTTAGATTTGTGTATTTCTGCAACAACTGACTTCAGTGGGCACAAACTGAACATTTAGATACTAAGCCAGAACATGGTTCAAACTTGTCACTGGCTACTTTAAAGTTAAACCAAAGCACTTCCTGAACAAGTAAGTCCGTGTTTTGTATACATTTCCTAATGAGGAGCAAGGTTAGCCTCATGAATGAGGAAAACAGGCTGGGACCCTGAAATGTCCATTTACTTCTCAAACCACAGATAAACAGCAACATGGTACTTTCAGAGGTTAGCTAATACTTTAGAATCTTGTGCTCCTAATAAACTTCAGCAGTTAAACAAATCTGAAACTTCCGGGCATAAAAAGGACAAACTGAACGGCCTGCAATGGATGTTAGAACAGAAAAGAAAGAAGCAGACTTCTCTTTATAAACCTCATGAGGCAAGTAGCTCAGCGAGAAGCATGGAAAACAAATAAATCTCTCATGTATCACTGACATTTTGAAGTGAAAGGAAGGACACTTCCACTCACACAATTCTTGTGGAGTCCTTAGTAGAAGCAAGCCCCAAAGGAAATCAAAGCACATTTGTCTCAATTTTTGCATCCGTGACAAATAGAAAAGACTTGTTAATTTTTTCCTGATTTTATTTTTGACATCAGACTTTCACAACTTACCTATTTTGCTTTCTTATAAACACTGAGTGAATTATAGAAACTAGTAAAACATTGATACCACACCCACCAGTGAAACAAAACATAAGCAACAGAAAGAAGATAAAGGGATTTTTATTGGGTAAGGTAAACCTCTGGACAGCAACAATTTAAATATTCAGTATCAGCACCTCTTAAGAGCTGAGATTCTGGAAGCTCAGGTCTCTGGCACTTCAAAAAAGCTTCAGCAAAAACAGTTTAGATAAACTGTAATTTTTCATTTTTAAAAAAAAAGACTCCCTTCCAGGCCTTCCTTATGTATCAAAAAAAAAAGAAAACAACCCCGAACAGTTAAAAAAGTGATGTTTCGCTTTCCATGGCACCTTCACTAGAAAAAAGCAGCAACAACATACTGACTTTCTTCTTAAATTTGTTCTCTGCCTTAAAAGCTTATCTTCGCTCCCTTTAAAATAAAAAGGAAAAACCATAAACAAAATTCTTGCTCCAAATATTCCACCTCTAAGAAGAAATACAGAGCAACAGAAATGAGACTCAGATCTCAGACTGATGCAGGAGCTCGCAAACTTGCAGGCTAGACACAACCTGAAAACATTTAAAAGACATCTTGAAAGCATGGTAATACTCTTCAAAATAGAATTACGGGTTGGAAAGCTGGCTGTTAAAGTGTCTGGTAAGAGCATGATCCAAAAGAATGGAATTTATTTCAGTGTGGAAATAAGCAACACACAACTCATGCTGCTAATGGCAAGAAGCACCTGACACTGGCACGTACAGAAGCCACCAAAGTTTCCCAGCGGCATCACACGCAACATCAGCTCCTGGCACGGAACTTTTCCAAATGCACAGACAAATAGCTGCGTTTTGCCAGTAGTGGTACAGAAATACCCCGTCGTTCTGGGCAGGCCATTTGACAGAACATTTGCCTGCACAGTAGCATCAGTCAGGGCATCAGTACCAGCAGAGCTGCCTGGAAGGGAGAAGCAGGCTCGGAACATAAAGCTCCGGGAGGACTCTGGGCTGCATTGCCACTCTTTTTGGCTGGCTAACAACTTGCCAATAACTTCTACCACACGGCAGATTCTGTTATTTATTCTAGGGTTCATTTTGCTCCCTGAAGCAATTTAGACTCAGAAACCAAAAAAGCAACAAGATGACCTTTCCTCGACATCAACATGCACTCTCTAAAAAAGATACAGCATGCTCTAAGATCTCACCTGTGTACAGTCCAAGAGGGAAGGAACAAGCCAAACAGACACAGCTATGCCTGTGAATCACGCAAATGGACAGGCCAGAATATTTTAGTGCATAGAGACCAAATTTCTGTGGCAAAAAAAAAAAATCCCTTTGTTATAGATACTGATGGAATTTGAAGTCTACTGTCCCATTATACTCCTCCGTGTTGCACAAACTCCTGAGATGCACTGTGACCACCATCATTTTGCATGGGCCAGGGCAGGGGCCTCAGGCAGCAGAGGTCAGGCAGCAGCTCCCGCACACTGCACCCCCTCCATAAGGCCCCTCGTGAACTGAGGGGATGACTCCTTCGTCCCTCACAGCCTCCTGCCACCACGGCACTGTCTCGTTCCATGCCTTGCCAGTGTGCAAGCGAGGATACAGGTGTCATCTCTCCAGCACTGGGAGGTCCTAGCTGGATTCGGACACATCCCAGCCCCTTTTTTTATTTTTTTGGAGGGGGTGAGGGAGAAGGAGGAGGAATCCCCAACAATCATTATAAAAAACAATACATAGAAAGGATGACTGAAGCGTGACTTTAAAAGGACATTATTGCAGAGGGCTTAAGCCAAGTTCATATCTTATTATTAAAAAGAAGTATTTATAAATCTTAAAAGTTTCTTATTGACATCTCAAATAACTGGTCTGAAACATCTCCTAAAGTATTTGCAAACAGTGCTAGGACACAAGAGCCAGGATCAGAAAGAGTGACTAGCCAGTGAACAAAACTCACTGATGTGCTACTGCCTTTGCTGGATGAACAGGAGAGTTAAAGGGAAAAATTAATACAAAACTCTAAAGGATTGTTGACAAACAAGGAAAATATAAGCCATATCTGACAAGTTTCAACAATATTGAAAACACTGTTTCACCAACATTTGACAGCTAGATGTGTCCAAAGACATAGCACTTTTCTAATCAGTAACATGAAAATGATTTCCATGTTCCTCTGTTAAATGTTCCAAAGTCAGGGTTTTTATTCTGCAATGGCTTTCATAAAAGCTCTGAAATGCAGAGGCAGTGAGAGCGGTCTGCTTGAAAACCTAAGACAAGGACTGGATGTTTAACTATACTCTGCTCACATGCAAAATCCTTCCTTTTTCAAGCCAGACAGCTTGAGATACATACATACATACATAATTAATGCACAATACTGCTACAGAAGTTGATGAAACTCACGAAAAAGTTTTCTACTTAGAGAACAAGTCGAGTTTGCAAATACATAGTGCATTTGTTTACTACTTAATAATAGCTATAGGTACTAAAGAGTACACATAGTAATTACCAAACTCCACTAAAGCTTGCCATTAGTATTTTTAGTAATCTGTCCTTCCACTAAGCCTGTAATTGAGTATCCACCCCCCTGCACTAATTACCACAACTGGGTTGTGTTCATAACAGCTTTACAGACCTGCACACTGCCTGCATTCCTCAAGCACTTTTCTTAATATCAATTATGTAAAAGCTCCTGATGTAAATTACATGTAAGGTTGGCATGTTAGCTCAAAATTTTAACCCTTGCAAAACAAAAGGCACACAATAATTCAATGAAACTAAGCTACAATAAACTCAACTAAAAGTGACCTTTTTCCGTGCGTAAAATAACATATTTCAGAGCCAAAGAAAAACACCATGAAAAGACACACAACTACATATACCACATGGTCTATCCAAGTGTGACTTCCTGCTTGTAAAAGCTGCAAATTCGATTTAACGGCTAGCAAGAACTGGCCAGACATACAGAGTTTCCTTCATTCAACCCTTCCTTAGGGCTGACCCCCCAGCCTTCAGCAGGAACCAACACGGCTCTCAAACATACGCTGTCCAGAAAGGTCAGGGACCAGAGGGAGAGGGCAAAAAGGTGCCTTAGTTCCAAGTCCAACATTAAGGACAGACACAGTAATACCTACAACTTAAAGATAAAACTGAAGAAAGAGCTCTTAAAGAAAAGAGTCTGGGACCAGGTTACAGATTCTGGCTCTCCTCTCTGATTATTAAGCCCAGTTCTGGAAATAGACACCCGCTTAGCTGTAGGTACCACTATACATATATATCCTGAAGCGTTTCTAAGTACTTTTAGAAACATAGGTTTGATGTCATGGGGTCTCAGTAGCTTGTTTCCTTTATTTGTGCCGTTTAGGATTTTGGGGAAAGAGGTGTGAATTTTCCCCAGAAAGAGCAAATCTATAATCAAACAGAAGTTTCATACACAAAAACAACCCAAACACACGTGAGAAAACAATATATATACACTACTGTCAGCATCTTACCTAGAAATATGTCCAATGTCTGGTACTATACGAGTTAGATAATTAACTTGCCTCCAAATTCTGTTTTCTGTCATCCTCAGACAGGCCTAAAGCACTTTGTTGTATTTTCATTTATTTTCATTCTTTTTCATCACTAAAATCTTCCTGTTCACATTCAATCTGAGCTACACAGGCATTATGCAAGTCACACTGTATTCTGAAATACCATACAGGTCAAGCAATACAGAGTTGGGAAGAGGTCTGTGGC